ATCAGTACAAAGAAGCTATCGCTAATTCCGTATGTCCTAATTGTCGAGTTCGACCAACTGCAATTGGAGAAATGTCTTCCGAAGAACATCAACTTCGCATCGAAAACGCTCACTTACATGAAGAGGTACAATTTATGAACTAGATGCATATATATATAGATAATACTTAATGCAAATTATTCATAACCATTTCATAAGATATGCTTGTTAAAAAACAGTTGTGCATACTAACCACCACAACTTCATTAGATTATAATGATTGAAGCATCTGTTGTCATACATATTACATTTCAAAATTATTGTAACATTATATTTTCTATTTTTCTTGTGTGTGTTATAGATCGGTCAATTATCCTTGATGGTGGAAAAGTTGACAGGCAACCAAGTCAGGAATTATAATGTCATGTCTCTTCCTGCTCTACCTCGATCTTTGGAGCTCGGGATGGTAACTGTTGGAAGAGATAATGTGTATGGAAATGGCGAAAACCTCTGGAGGTCAATCACTGGACCAACAGATGCTGATAAGCCAATGATCATAGAGCTAGCAGTTGAAGCCATGGAGGAACTAATGAGGATGGCTCAAGTGGGTGAACCACTTTGGATGGGAGGAGTCCATGGAACTAGCTTAGTCTTGAACTTGGATGAATACACAAGAACGTTTCCAAAGGGAGTCGGGCCTAGACCGAACAGGTTTAGGTCCGAGGCATCGAGGGATACCGTGATGGTGCTTATGAATCATATGAACGTTGTTAAGATGCTCATGGATGTGGTAAATCAACTAATATCAATCAAATTCATATATGGTCATAATATTAAATAATCTTCTTAATATCATACATTAGTGTCTACAAGGTGTGTAACTAATTATCGGTATTCGCAGAATCAATGGTCCTTGATGTTTTCTGGAATGATTGCTAGAGCAATGACTCATGAAGTTTTATCGACTGGAGTTGCTGGAAACTTGGACGGATCTCTTCAACTGGTAATTCTTATAATTTGTTTTCTATATTTAAAAAACAAAACAAAAATAATTTTTTTAACTTGTAACAATTATTTTGTACAATATTTGTTGTTATTAATTCATAGATGACTGCTGAATTCCAAGTGCTTTCGCCGTTTGTCTCGACACGCGAATGCTACTTCGTCCGCTACTGTAAACAGCAAGGAGATGGTTTATGGGCCGTGGTCGATGTTTCCATTGACCATCTTGTTCCAAACCTCGAACTTAAATGTCGTAAACGACCCTCTGGTTGTCTAATTCAAGAAATTCCAAATGAATGCGCCAAGGTAAAATAATTACTAAATTTGTTTAATTGTCTTATAATGGTTTATGTAGAGTTAAAAAATTTTAAATGATGTATTTTGTTGGTTTGAAAGGTTACATGGATTGAGCATGTAGAGGTAGATGACAGAGGAGGATTTCACTACTTGTATAAGCACTTAGTCGGTACTGGTCAAGCTTTTGGTGCTAGCCGTTGGGTTGCAGCATTGGACCGTCAGTGCGAGCGGTTAGCCAGCATCGTGGCTCCAAACTTCTCATCCGTAGAATCGGATGGTCTAATAAGTATTTTTACCACTCATTCTTTCTTTCTATATATACAGTCTTTTCTTTCTGACCATTGTGTGAGTTTTTCTTTTGTGGAATGTTGCAGCGATAACGGACAAAGCAAAGAGTGAAGTACTGAAATTAGCTGAGCGAATGGCGAGAAGCTTCTTCGCTGGTGTGACCACTTCGACTGAAAATATGTGGCGTATGTATTATTGTGACCGTGTAGGAGATGATATTAGACTGATGACTAGCACGAGTTTTAGTGATCCAGGAAGGCCTCCAGGTGTTGTTCTTTGTGCATCTACTTCATTTTGGGTCCCTGTTTCTCCTAAGACTCTCTTTGACTTCCTTCGTGATGAGAATACTCGAACCAAGGTACTACTAACTTTTAGTACAAGTAACTCTTTTTCTTTGTTTGTTTCTTTCGAAGATTTGTTAGTGTACAAACATCATGTGTTTGTAGTGGGATGTTTTGTCCTGTGGAGGGACTGTGCAGAAGATTTCACAGATTGCAAATGGGAGAGACAGTAGGAACTGTGTAACTGTACTCCGGGTAAAGGAACATACATTGACTTGGTTTGTTTACTATGTTCTGTTTTTGGATCTTTTTGTATGTGACTGATGTTTTTTTTGGTTACAGGGGTTGAATGCTAACAACACCGATATGATGATAGTTCAAGAGAGCTCTACTAATCCAACAGCTTCATTTGTGATCAATGCACCTGTTGATATAGCANCAATAGAGACTGTTCTCAAAGGAGCTGAATCTGACTATGTGGCTTTACTTCCTTCGGGTTTTGTTATTCTTCCCGATGGAGTTAGTCAGCGTGGAGGAGGAGGCTCGCTTCTTACCGCATCATTTCAGATGTTGGTTGATTCAGCTCCTTCTGCTAAGCTGACTATGAGCTCTGTTGCAACTATTGAGAATCTGATTCGTGCAACCATGCATAGGATCAAGACTTTGTTTCCTTGTCTCCCTGCTTGAACCACCTCCATTCTCGGTAATCAATCGAATCTATTTTCATAAACAAACTCATTACTTGCTTCGCGTTTATAATGTTGATGACTTCTTTTCTTTTTGCTTTTCTTCAGGAAAATAATCTAAAGGAAAAGAGAGAGTCTTTGAGTTTTTTTCTTTTTTTCTTTTAAGAGTTATTGGAAAGCTTCAAAAGGGGAGGAGTCAAGAACGAACCTCGCAAGAAACCATGTCGCTCGATTAGTTTTTTTTAAGAGGTTCGGGGATTGACTTCCCCTGAATGATATGTTAGAAAATGTTAAGAACTTTGTTTGTTTTCTCTTTTGATTTGTGGGAACCTTTGTCAAGATATTGAGTACTC